CAAGTACTGTAAAAGTGCCCCAAAGCTATAAGCATCACTTTTCTCCGAAACTTGGTAAGAAGCCAAGTGGGCAGGATCAAGAAAACCATGCATCCCTCTTGGAAGATCAACAACACGAGATTGCACAGGAGGAATAGTTATAGAGACTGAGAAGTTGTAGAGTTTGGGAACATGGTCGTCGTCCAAAAAGGTACAAACAGGTTTAAATCCTTGTATATTATGGGCCGGAAAAGGCCGTATGGAGATGTGTAAGTGCACTAGCAAGCTGCATTACTATACGAAGTCTAGTTTTCCATGATAAAAAGGATGAAGATTCATTGGCCCCACAACCTTTGTTATTGAGAACTCCTTTCAATGTGTATTCATACTTGAGAGCTGGTATAGGGAACTCTAAGCAGCATCCCAAGGGTTTTAAAACATTCTTATGATTGCTCATGTACTGAAACTACAATGTCACGAATAGCCAATGATCTAGTTTAGTTCCTTGTAAAATACTTCTTAATGATAATTGATCGGCCATCTAGAAAACCCTTGAGCACTTTGCAGACTCCAAAATCTTGTATGGTTGAAGAAGGGTTAAAGTTTTTTGTTGCCTAGATGAGCTTATCAGCAGAATAACTGTGCACTGGATTAGATATGTCATCGCAAGAAGCAATGAGAACCTCCGATAACACGCTTCCGTTCTTCAAGAATGATCTCTCTTTATCCTCCTTTTTCAAACATGGATGTCAATTCGAATGAGTTCTCTGGCTACATTGATCATATATGCCCTTCCTTCAATTTCCTGTTGAGTGCATGACAACACCGGTTGTAGGAAATCATGCAACTGCTGCTGTTGAAATGGACAAAACACCTTCTCATAGATTTTAGGGTCCACAAGTGCTTGAAACTGATTTATAGTCTCCTTCTTGGTTTATAATGGATTTAGAATTTTGTCCTGTCAAGAGTACAAGTAAAAGCACACCAAAGCTGTAAACATCCATTTTTCTGAGATGCGATTATACTGCACGTAGACAGGGTCAATGTTCTCGATTGTCTCTTTTAGATCATCTTTAACAAACGATTCCATAGGAGGAATGGTTATAGAAAAGTCATGAACTTTGGCAACATAGCCATCGTCCAAGAAGATGCAGGTGGGGCTCAGGTCCCTATGAATGATGGGTCTAGGAAAGGCAGTATGGAGATATGTAACGGCACTAGAAACCTGCTTAACAATGCGCAATCTAATGTTCCATGGTAGATTTGATGTTCGTTAGCCCCTCTTAAACTTCCATCATAGTTGAGAACTTCTTTTGCTGCATAAAAAGCACCAGAACTGGTAAATAGAACTCTAAGCAACAACCCAAGAGTTTCAAAACTTTCTCATGGTTGTTCATCTATATTGAAATAACAATATCACAAATAACCCTGAGACCCAGCCAGATTCACGTTGGGGAAGATGCTAATGAAGTACTTCATAATGATCGATCCGCCATCCAGAAATCCCCTAAACATTTCATAGTGTGAATCCTTTCATACAGCGCGAGAAGAATGGAAGTTGCTGGTTGCCATGATGAGGTCATGATCGTGAAAACTATAACTTACAATTGCAACATTTTTTATGACATTATTTTATCTCAACTGATCACCAAAAGCCTCTTAGGATTGGAGTTAGATTACACCAAGTAAACAGTAATCGATCAATTTCTCCAACGAGTCCACTGCAGATGGTATGTGCAAGCAGAGCAGAACTTGTAGCTACTCCCCCAGTTTCATTTTCTCCAATGAGTACAATGTTGAAGTTCATTTCTATGCTTTGCGAGGTCAATGGTGGCATCAAATGATCAGCCTGCTATAAATAACATGCAGTGGTGACAGCCGGCCAAAGAAATTCACATGAAACTACTATTTTTGTTTTTTCATTATTAGAGACAAAGCAGAAGACAAATAATCTGTCAACTACAAAGAAAGTAGACAGTAGGAGGCTGTGACATAAAGCGTATACATGAAAAATTAACATATGCTAACCCACCTCCCTATTCACAAATCTTCTACTACATATCCGCAGAATCCCACAACGTACTTTTAGTTGGAGTAGATGTGGTTGGGAGTTTCATTGAATTTTCAAAAGAACTACAGGATCGCGAACACTTACAAAGTTTCATTAACAACTTTAAACATAAAAAAAGAGAGAGCGCTATAACATTGACGTTGCAGTTGCATAGGAGGAACTGTTATAGAGAAAGAGAAGTTGCTAAGTTTTAGGAACAAAGTCTTGGTCCAAGAAAACACAGCTAGGTTTGAGATCTCTACCGCATGATGGACTTATGAAAAGTGGAATTGGAGATATGCAACTGCATTCACAAGCTGCTTTGCAATACACAATTTAGTTCTCCATGGTAATAAGGATTGATCTTCATTTGTCATTGTCGAAAGGAAAATACAACATCAAGATATTCTAAAGATTAGTGAGAAACATGGAAATTGAACTTGCCTTGAAATCGTTCAGCACAAAGATATACACACTAATGCAAACTAGGTAGCTACAGTTTCACCATCTCTGTGCTAAACAAACAGAAAATGATTGACCTAATTCTGCACCATTTTTCAAAATCACATGTCCACCGTGCAAAACATCAGCCTTCAATAATGCCAGTGCTAAGAATACTGTATAATGTTTGGAAATGTAATTGATTTTTAACTGAATTTGATTTTTAACACGTTCTCTTCGTTCTTTTTTTCTCAAAAACTCCTTACAAATAATGAACAAAACGGGCAAAATGCAATTTATAAGTACACAAGAGATCCAAAGAGTTCTAATCTGAGCTTTCATATCTGTTACAAATTAACAAAAAATGAAAATAATAGCAACACATTAACAACCAACACCATACAAAGGTTAGTGACTTCAACATTTAAGACACTAATCAGCTTCCAAACACTAGTCATATCTTGTCAATTCGAACGAGTTCTCTAGCCACATCAGTCATATATGGCCTTCTTTCAATTTCGTCTTGAGTGCATGACAATAGGAAATCTTGCAACTGCTACTGCACTTTCTCATCTTCCCCTACATCCTCATAGACTTTAGGGTCCACAATTGTCTGAATCTGCTCGATTTCACTAACATGTTGTTTCATGTATGCAATAATCGATTGTATTATGTCGTGTCATATTAATCTACGACTTTTTGTCCCGTTAAGAATACAAGTAAATGCACACCAAAGCTATAAACATCACTTTTTTCTGTTATGTAACCAGACTTCATGTAGGAAGGATCAAGGTACCCAAATGTCCCCTTCAGATCTTCTTCAACATGAAACTGCGTAGGAGGAATGGAAATGGAGAGTGAGAAGTTGATGAGTTTGGGAACATAATCATGGCCCAAGAAAATACAGCTGGGTTTTAAATCCCGATGAATGACTGGCCTGGGAAAGGCGGTATGGAGATATGTAAGTGCATTAGCAAGCTGCTTTTCACTACGCAGTCTAGTTTTCCATGGTAATGAGGAGTAATTTTCACTACCCCCTAGACCTCCATGATCGTTGAGAACTCCTTGCATCTCGTACTCATGAACAAGAGCTGGTACAGAAATCTCCAAATTTTTATGGTTGCTCATCTGCATTGATATAGTAATGTCTCGAATGGCCATGGACTTAGCTTCATCCCCCGTCCCCATGAACTTCGTAACAATGATTGATCGGTCATGTAGAAAACCCCTGAACATTTTGTAACCACCATAAACATGTATAGAACTGGGAAATTGACTATTATCAATGGGTGAACAATCTTGTATAATGCAAGAAGGATCAAAGTTGTTGGTTGCCCTCGTGAGTTCATAGCAGAATAACAACGAATAGGATTCGATTTTCCATCACAAGAAGCAATGAGATCCTCCAATAAGATGCTTCCATTATCCAAGAATGATCTCTCTCTTTCCTCCTTTCTGAAACGTAAGCAATGGGAAGAACCTGATTAATATGCACACCCACCCACGCACCCACACCCGCATAAGTATAATTAATACACACACCAAGATATGACAGAGCACCTTCCATATAACCTGAATAGCGTATTTTCCTTTCATAGTTTGCCTATGAACTTCACATGAAATAAGTCTAACAGATTACATATAAGCATTCTGGTTTGTTCGAAACTGGAAAAATTAACATAAAAAATAACGTGTTGGATTTCTTTCTCCTATTGTGGTACTAGATTACAAAGCCAAAAACCTGGCCTCCTTTAAAGGGTTTCTGTCCTAAAAAATGAACTTTGGGATTTAGCACCCTACCTCCTCAAAGATTTCAGGTTTTACGATCATCTGCAACTGGTAAGCACGTCATTTCACATACACAACTGATCTATGTTCTACTGAAACCTACAACTTCCAAGCAAGAGTTTTCTTTTTTTTTTTTTTTTTTGGTGTGGAATTTTCGCTTGTGTAGCACCAAGGCCGCTTAGGATTGGATTAGATTGCACCAGGTAAACAGTAATTGATTGAGTCCACTGCGTATGTCATCCAATCATCTTCCCTACCTGAAATAACATATATGGAGAGGGGCGGAGTAAGAAATTTACATGAAACACCGCCATACTAGAAAAAAAAAGATTATTAGTCAATACGATGAAAGGAGGAAGGAAGCAGGAAATTAGGAGGCTTTCATACATGATATATGAAAGCACACAAATATCCACGACTACGTATCGTTGCAATCTCCTAAAAACCAACCTCCCAGTTCACAAATCTTCCGCCACATGTCCTTATAGAGCGTGACACAACATACGTATTTCGTTGAAGACTACGACCGGTGAGAGTAGTCGTATACATGTATCAAATATAAAAAAGAGATTACGATTGCAAATGAGGGCTTGCCATAGAGAAAGAGAAGTTGCTAATTTTTGGGAACAAAGTCATGGACCAAGAAAATACGGAAAATGAGGGTTTGGTAGAGATACATGTGCGTATATCATTAGCAAACGAAAAATGCAACATTAAGAAATCGTACGAATTGAGAGAAGAATGAAAATCGAACTTGCCCTTAAATCATTGAGCAAAAGATATACACATGAATGAAGACTAGGTAGCGACCATCTCACTGCTAAACAACTAGAAGTAGGAAACTATAAAGTATTGTTGAACCGATCTATATCCTATTTAGACATTCAAAGTAATCTTGATTCTTAGTAACACAGTATAGACTTCTCAATTCGGACAAGTTCTTTGGCTACATCAATCATGCATGGTCTTTCTTCCCTTTCGTCTTTGGTGCACAACAGTGCCAGAGCTAAGAAATCTTGCAATTGCTGATGTGCTTGCTCATCTGCCCCGACTTCCTCAAGAATGCAGGGATCCACAATTGTCTTGTATTCACCATTGGAAGCATGTAATTTCAAATATTTAGGAACTGATCCGTCTTCTTCTGCTGCTGCTGCTTGATCCACATCCTCAATTTTTCGTCCCATCAAGAATACAAGTAAAACCACACCAAAGCTATAAACATCTGTTTTTTCAGTAAGGCACCCAGTTGTTATGTAGGTAGGGTCAATATACCTATACGTTCCTTTCACACAATCTTCAACATGCAACTGCTGAGGAGGAATCGTGATCGATAGTGAAAAGTTGGAGAGTTTGGGAATGTAGTCATCGTCCAAGAAAATGCATGCAAGCTTTAGATCCCTATGAATGATGGGCCTGGGAAAGGCAGTATGGAGATATGCAAGTGCATTTGCAACTTTCTTTGCAATTAGCATTCTAGTTTTCCATGGTAATGATCCAGAAAACACTAAACCGCCATGGCGGTCAAGAACTCCTTTTGCTGCGTATTCAAGCACCAGAGCTGGTATAGAGAACTCTAAGCAGCAGCCCAAGAGTTTCAAAGCGTTCTTATGTGTACTCATCTGCATCGATATGATAATATCACGAATGGCCTTGGACGTAACTTCAGCCTCACTACGCCAGCTCCATTGGCAGTACTTCTTAATGAGAACTGAGCGGTCATCTAGGAAACCTCTGAACACTAGGAAGTATGAACCCTGACTTATACGGCAAGAAGGATGAAAATTGTCGGTTGCCTTGACGAGCTCATCAGCAGAGTATGTGCGAATAGGATTAGATTCTCCATCACACGAAGCAATAAGATCCTCCAATAACATGCTTCCATTTTTCAAGACTGAGCTCTCTCTTTCGCCTTCGTATGCTTGGACACAAGGAGAAACTGGTACAAAATATACACATATATACACAGGAAAGAAGAGAAAATAGTCAAAAGGAAGGAAACTCTACGGGAAGCTGATCAATAGAATAAATGAGCTTACAAGACTTTGGACAGCATTTTTCGGATTGTACGTGCAGTTTTAAACAGTTATCAATCGATTCATCCACCGATTCCACTGCAGATGGTATGTGAAAACAGCGCATGCAGCAGTTCTACTCCATGAGTTTCAACAAGCAGGGCACTCACGCGTTGCTGCGGGGTTTGCAAAATTATTGACAGTGTAGAAGTGTAGAATGCATATTGCAATGCATGCCAAACCACAACATCTGATAATCCATAAACTCAACGAAATTTAAAATGAAGTTCAGCAGCTGGGACAAAATAAAAACAAAAAATACTAACTCAAGCGCTTGCACGTATAAACACCACATAAAAATCACAAAAAAAAAAAAAAAAAAAAAAAAAGAAACGTAAACAACAGCGGAGACACTTAGGCAAAAATCCAGCAAGCATAGTTCTTTTAATTCCAACACAGAAACAACAAAATTTTCTGAAAAAAATACCCATACGAATTCAACTTAAATCCCAAAATCCAATCCCCAAAACAAACCATAATTTCAAATACTACAAACATGCAAAGGCAAATCAAAGCTTCAAGTCATTTTAGATTCTACCGAATAATAGGAACAATTTAATTCCCTAATTCGGAGTGAATAATTCGAAAATCTGGAAAAATAAAGAGGTCTAAAACCCTCGGCCGAGATCGACCTTGAAGAACACACAATTCAGATTGGGTCCCCACAACAGAGTGGATCATGTTCTTGGCATGATTTTTATTATAATTTTTCTGTAACTAACACCAACAATTGAAGAGTTGATTGTAATAAGAGGGTAATAGGCCAAACAATGAAATACAAATTCAACTGGAAAAAGAAAACAAAAAGAGGAAAACCTTACACCCGATGCTATAACAGTATTGTCAGGATGCTGGAAATTAACTGCAATCCAGGGAACAATTTAACTTATAAGCAATTTTAAAAAAAATAGAAAGATTCAGGGCAAATCTGTTGTGGTGTGAAATCCACCTTATCTTCTTCCACGACCCATTCATCTTCTTTGTAGTGAGTATCAGATTAAAACCCTAGAAACCTTAGCCGCCGTTGGGGGTGGTCGGAGTTGACTGAGATAGACGAAACCTTACGCGGTTTCGTTGTATGACCGACGAATTGAAGTTTGGTGAGAAAGAAGTGGAGGAGCTGGGCGAGAGAGGTCGAGAAATTTGACCGAGAGGTTTCTGGGTCTCTGGTGATTTTTTGTCAGAGAGGAAGAGTGTTGTCGAAGAGAGAGAACGACAGCACAGCGTGTCGACAGGTTTTCATTTGGACGATCCACCCGTGCCCTTCATGGGCAGTTCCGTCATTTCACTGTAGATTGGAAAAAAACATAGCGTGGGGGAAAGCAACGTAGGGGAAAAAGCGTCATTACACTGTTCTTATGAACAGTATTCTTTCTGTGCAGGGCTTTGGTATTACTAGCAAAGTGTACCTACGCGCTACTGCAGGATTTGCAACACTGCTAAAGATGTAAAAGGTCTTGAAAAATATATATCCTAAAGCCTTTTTTTTTTTTTTTTTTTTAACAAAAATTATTATCTACACTAAGTGGCAAGAGAGATATTGGTATGCATATTATATAACAAAAAGGCTTATTATATTACACCCCATAAATTGTTGAATAAGCCTCACATATTACACTTACACCCCATATTTGCTTTTTCAATTAAAAATTATCTTAATACACCTACTTATTTCCTAATAATACCCTTACACCCCACATTCTTAATATATACCTTGCATTTGTTATATGCACCTCACATTTCTTAAATTTTATAACGCTTTTAATTTGGACAAGAAATGACGACTAAAATTTTGACAAAAGATGCAGACTGAGATTTAAAGCATATGTAAGTTGTTTTCAATTCCACCATTAAAACTCATATCGTCTATTTTTAATATTTGATGGTAATTTTATGTGTTTAATTCTTCATCTAATCCCTATGATCCCTAAAAGATGAATAGAAGCTTGAATAATTATCGATGTCGTCAAAATCACTAAAACAATAAATAATATGAAGTCTTACCTTATATGAAGCTTCTGAAACATTGATTTCGTGTTTCATTTGTCAAAAATAATTTTTCTCAATCAACATGTTTATAGCTTCATTGGTTAAGGTTTTATTCAACAATAGAGGGTATGAGGGGTTTAGATAGTTAAAGAAGATAAATAATACGTTAAAAGTGATTTGGAGAGTATATAATTTTCTTTTTTGTTAACCTACTAAGGTCAAAATTGTCATTGCATAGTAGGATAAATAAGTTAATTAATATTAAATTTTAATGTAAGGTGCATTCAACATTTTATGTGATGCTAATATAAAAAGCCTTACAAAAATTGAAGATGTTGGTATGCCATCCTGAAGGATTGTTTTTCAAAATCTATGGCTCTATCTCATGGAGTGTGTTATGTTTACAATTATACAAAGTAGAAAAAAAAATTGATCATTCGTGAATTGAATCATCCTAAATTGCATTACGAATTGAATTGAATGAAAATCTAAAGATGAAGGGAAAGTTTTCATAATTTCACTATGCCAGATTTCATTTCCAGGCACCAAAAAATGCGCAAAATTAAAGTTGGAATTTCATACTCTATTGGGTATCGAAAGTCGTGTGAAAGCTCGGAAGTAACCAAACCAACATCCAATTTAGTACACACCTAAGAAAAACTTAAGCAAGAAAATATATCCAACTCCTCAATCATTAAACAAACACAGCAACACAATCATTGAAAAACCTGCAATCATTTATCAAAATTGAATTAATAAAATTGGATGTTGGGGTCAAACTTTTGTGTCCGCCTAAGGATATTTGAGGCTAAAACTTTAATTTTACTCAATTTAGCCTTTAAGTTATTTTATTTTCAGTCTTCAAATTTAGAGTAAATATTTAACATTCTACAGTGTAGTTTCAATTTCAATTTTCATGCAAGTTGTCATCTTCGAAACTTCATGCCAATAGAAACTCTACATGCATGTATTCCTGGTATCATGAACATAAGTCTATATCAATATATAATATTAGCATATACTTAGCGGGAACCAATTATTCTTGATGCTCTTGACGATGACAAAAATATATATATCGATGTCGTATATATACTTACATCTTCACTGTGCATGCCAACTTTTAGGGTTTCAATTTGGGATTGTGAAGTTTCAAGATGAAATTTTTGGTACCCTTTAGTGAGAGTTTGTATACTGGATTTATTTTCTTTAGACCTTTGTTAGCAATTTGAATTACATGACTCAAAATCTGTTGTATTTCTTCAATTTTTAGCTTCGAGTTTAGAGAAAAATTGGGGATGTGATTAATAATCTTTTGTGTCCATTTATGTAATTTAATTATTTGATAATGTTCTAACAAAATACAACCCCAATAGAACAAAATGGACCATAGAAAAAAAAAAATAGTGAAATATTTACCATTCACTATTCATAGTTTTGGTCAAAGAACTCAAATTTCAGAGATAAAAAACAGAGAAGCTTGTATGCATCATTTATAAAGGTTACCTCCTTTTGGTTGAAAAACTGAAGTGTGACGTTAATTCTTCTTCTGCTTCCACCTCCTTATGGAACTTGACCCGCCAGTAACATTTGTACTTCAACCTACAATCAATAACCAGTCAGTACCTTTGGCAAGCTCATTGGGGCATGGCAACACTATGAATGGGAAGATTATTGCAACCCTAACAAACAAAGAAAAAGAAGGAGGCATTCAGTTGAGGATGTCAATGAGGGAAAGAAGAAGAAGAAGAAAAGAGCTAGTTGAGGAACGGAAGAATATTGGTGCTCTGTTCAGTTTGGAGGTATGTTCTTAAGAGTTTACAAACTGCCTATATGATTCTCTCACTTCAGTGTTTACAAACTGCTCTGGTTTATTCTAATTTGTTTGTAAATTAATGATTTTACTCAAGGTAATTGGGCATGTTGCAGACCCTATTGAATTATGTAAATCTCTATCACCCTTAACTGTCAGGGTGAAGCAACTGTTACTTCAACTATTAACCGTTCTATGAGAGTGTATGCTACTGCCATCATTGCAGCAGTTTATAATCTAATCAAATTAGTAAGAAAAACATATGTTCTCATGCATGTAGAAACTCAGTGGAGAGAATACTACATTTGCAACACAATGAAAAGAGGCAAACACATGACAAATATACTCAAAAAAGAGCCCACCAATTTAATGAAGAATTCTCCAAAACTCAGAACTTTAAACGTACTTCTACAAAATCATGAAAAATTTAATAAAACCCATAATACGTAACAAAATTGAAGCATATCTTGACATGCAAAAGGTCAAAAGGTAACTGAAGTGATGAGCAATGGATTAACATACTTTTTTTTCTTCACCTCTTTGTGAGTTGCTCTTTGCATAAACTATAGCAATTAAAAAAAAAAAAAAACCATTACATTAAATTTATCTGAATTTAATCACAGGTGCACTAGAAAATTATAAAACTCAAAATTAAAAAAACCCCAAGATGAATTTAAGCAAAACCCATATCAGATTCTAAGTGGGTTTATGAAAAATAGTATTAATCAGATATCAACATAGTAAATAAATAAATAAAATAAATTGAAATTTACCTACCTTTAAGTTTCAAGGTTTTTATTTAGAATCCAAGGAAACCCCAGATCAGATTCTAATAAGTGGTTTATCAAAAATAATAATCTAATAAGAAATTAACACTGAAAGTAAATAAGAAACCGAAATTTTTTTTGAATTTTCTTACCTTTAGTTTCTGGGTTTACAATGTGGAATCCAATTAAGAACTGAAGGATGAGATTGGTGATGGTTTTTGGTGTTTCTGGGTTCGTGGGTGGGGTTGGGGTTTTGAATCGTGATGTTAAGAGAGAGCGAGAGAAAGAATGATCAATGATGTTCACCAGAGAAAAAAAAGACGATAAAAATGGACGGACTGAGCCCCAGATAAATAGATGGTCCAGATTCAATTAGATTTACATTGGAGTAATATTACTTTTTATGAACAGTAAACTTGTGTGTTTTCAGCTTTAGTATAGGTTCAATTTTCTTTTACCAGCTGCTTTTATTTGAGAGAGTCGGTCCTTTTAAGAATAATATGTAGTGGGACCGGCCAAAACAAATTTACATGAAACTACTATTTTCTTGTTTCATTATCGGACAAAAAGAAAAGGACATATGGTCACTTACAAAGAAAGAAAAAGGAAGGAGATGGGAAATTAGTGTTGGATTTGTTGTGAGTTATTGCTTTGGAAGAGTCAAAGAAGTTGGCTAGGAGAGATGAAAGAAATGTTTTTATAAACAATTAAGGGAAGAAATGGTTTTTCAAGACGCGTAGATGCTTTCTTTCATATATTTTTCTCCCACAATAAGTAGGCAAATTGAGATATGAAAATAAGAATCCAGATCCTTTTTGTGAGGAATTCGTTAATCCTGTCCATTCATCGTAAATCGTGTAGTCATAAATTATTTTAAATATTTTTATTTAAAATTAAATACAAACGGTACTTGACAAAAACTGACCGCACTACGATAAATCATGCACAATTTATGTCACTATTTCTTTCAACATTTCCACATTCGTTCATTTGATTGAAATATTGTTCTATAACAGGTTTAACTTTGTTTTTCTAATACCTTATCACAAAATAATTCCACCTTGGACAAGTTACAAGGTATGCTGCAACTTGTGCTTTGATAAATTGCATTCAAATTGATATTGCTTAAGAATGCATTAAACATGTTGAATTCCATGTCCACAGCAGCGCACGGGCACCATTGCTAGTTTATTGCTATATGCTTTACAAGGTCAACTATGTCATCCAATCATCTTCCCTGCTTGAAATAAGATATATGCAGTGGGGCCGAGTAAGAAATTTACATGGAACACCCCCATATTAGAAAAAAAGATTATTAGTCAATACGATGAAAGGAGGAAGGGAGCAAGAAATTAAGAGGCTCACATACATGATATACGAAGGTGTACAAGTATCCACAACTACGTATTGTTACAATCTCCTAAAAACCCACCTCCCAGTTCACAAATATTCGGCCACATATCTTTATAGAACGTGACACAGTGTACATATTTCGTTGAAGACCGGTGAGAGTAGTCGTATACATGTATCAAATATAAAAAAGAGATTGCGATTGCAAATGAGGGTTTGTTATAAAGAAAGAGAAGTTGCTAAGTTTTGGGAACAAAGTCAAAGAAAATACGGAAAATGAGGGTTTGGTACAGATATGTACGTATATTCATTAGCAAACGAAAAATGCAACATTAAGAAATCGTACAAAGTGAGAGAAAAATGAAAATCGAACTTGCCTTGAAATCATTGTGCACAAAGATATACACATGAATGAAGACTAGGTAGCGACCATCTCTCTGCTAAACAACTAGAAATATGAAACTATAAAGTATTGTTGAACCGATATATATCCTATTTAGACCTTCGAAGTAATCTTGTTTCTTTGTTACACAGGATCGACTTCTCAATTCGGACAAGTTCTTTGGCTACATCAATCATGCATGGTCTTGCTTCCTTTCCGTCTTTGGTGCACAACAGTGCCAGTGCTAAGAAATCTTGCAATTGCTGATGTGCTTGCTCATCTGCCTCGACTTCCTCAAGAATGCAGGGATCCACAATTGTCTTGTATTGACCATTGGAAGCATTTAATTTCACTTATTTAGGAATTGATGCCATCAAGAATACAAGTAAAACCACACCAAAGCTATAAAAATCAGTTTTTTCGGTGATGTGCCTTTCACATCATCTTCAACATGCAACTGCTAAGGAGGAATCGTGATCAATAGTGAAAAGTTGGAGAGTTTGGGAAAGTAGTCATCGTCCAAGAAAATGCATGTGGGCTTTAAATCCTTATGAATGATGGGTATGGGAGATGTAAGTGCATTTGCAACTTTCTTTGCAATTAGCATTCTAGTTTTCCATGGTAATGATTCAATATCCCCTAAACCTCCATGGCGGTCGAGAACTCCTTTTGCTGCGTATTCAAGCACCAGAGCTGGTATAGAGAACTCTAAGCAGTAGCCCAAGAGTGTCAAAGCGTTCTTATGCATACTCTTCTGTATCGATATGATAATATCATAAATGGGCATGGACGTAACTTCAACCTCACTAGGCCAACGCACTTGGAAGTACTTCTTAATGAGAACTGAGCGGTCATCTAAGAAATCTCTGAACAGTAGGTAGGATAAATCCTCACTTATAAGGCAAGAAGGATCAAAATTGTCGGTTGCCTTGACGAGCTCATCAGCAGAATATGTGTGAATAGGACTAGATTTTGCTCATCAGCAGAGTATGTGTGAATATGACTAGATTTTCCATCACACTGAAGCAATGACACACCACGATCCCGATATCCCCAAATACTAGGATAAGCACGTGCTAGCCGACATCCGAGGACGACGAAGCCATTTTAACATGCATGCAAGTGGTATTGGTAAATGATAGTAAATAATTATGTAAATAAAAAGAAATACGCAAATGCGGAAACGTGTTCAGAGCATACAACTAATCAAGAAAATGTGAAAAGAATTATTATACAAAGGTACGAACAAAGGAATGGGTCCTACAGTGAGAAGACATGAAGATTCCTATACAGAAGTGCCCTAACGCTGGGATTATATGCCTCAATTCTAACTCTTGAAAGGGGGCACAAAACAAAGGGTGATGGACCAAAGTTTATAATAATAATACTAATAATAAGAAAACCATTTTCTTTCTGAACATACTAACCTCCTGTTTTGAAAACTCATATAGTACTACATAGTAGGTTTTCTGAAAACTCTGGCATGCCATGAAAAACATTCGCAAAGCATGTACGTGTAAACCTGTGCTCAGTAATGGTACTATAGTCACCTAAGGGCAAATCCGTAACACATTTGTAAATCACATCAATGATGTACTCAACTAAATGTATCATAATCGCCCAAAGGCATAACCATCATCTGAAGGTAAAGTTGTACGACACTGGATTACGCTAGTGAAGAAATATGGTAGGTCCCATCACCTGAAGATGAAGCTGTACGACTCTAGGTTTTGCCAGAGAAGAAACATATACATGACATAACACATCAACACTGATTTTGCCAATAAAGCTGGGAGTATGTCATAAATATCCTAAATTGTGTCCTATGGCCATAAATGTCTACATACTTGTGTTGTGTGTATGTGCTGTATGAATCCCCATTAGATAAGCACCGTAAATATATCTCAAAAACTCATATCAAATCACCAAAGCTCAAAAGCTCAAATCCACATCTCATAAATCCAAAATAAATCATATCTGTAAATCCATAGAATTTTATTTACGAAAATCCGATAATTCATAACCTTTTGTAAAACGTAAATTTGATAAGTCATAAATAATGCATAAAACGTACAATCATGAAATCATGCTTTTCGTGAATGCAAGCCTAAAAATTTTATAAAAATATGCAATTTAAGAAAGGGTCCACTCACAAATATTCCGTGGTCAGGGAGCCGCTCAAACTAGAGAGGGTGAGATCACATTCCACCGATGCACCTAAACACAAATAGAAACCATTTAATAAAACGCTACTAAAACAATAGAATTTGGGGAAACAGACAGTGGATTATGATTCGGCACATTGAAAAACCTAAGGAGGGACCTTGGCTCCCCCATGCGCCGCTACACGTTGCCATAGGGTGGCGGCTTGGGAGGCCAAGCGCCACCGTACGCGCCAAGATGGGTCACCGGAAAAGTTGTTGGCGCCGTCGTGGACAACAACGAAGCACAGTACCTCCGGCGGAGGTGCGTGTGCTCCACGCATCGACCTTGAAATCAGGAAAACGGTTATGGGTCAGGTAAGATTTGGGTTTTGGGTTGCTAGGTTGGGCCGGGTTATTGGGTTGAGCCCAATTATTGGGTTGGGCCCAGTTTTGGGCTGCAAGTAGGGTCGACTCGGTTTTAGGTCGTGGGTCGGCTGGTTTCTGCAAAAAATGGTCGTGAATCTAAACAGTCCGATTAGCTCCATTCACAATTATAAGTAGCATGCCATATATGGATTTGAAGCTACGAAGGAGAGGAACAAAAATATACCACTGGTGTTCTTGGCCAGAAAATCGCTCGAAAGTCATCGAAAAACTGGGTGAAAACCTTCTCGATGTAGTTTTTGAGTCCAAAACACACCAACGCGCCTAAAAAACAACCTAATTGTACTTCTAAGCACCATTTACAAAGATTTGGGGTGGTTATCAAACTTACCCATGTCGAAGACGACGAGAATTTGCCGGAGAATCCTTTGAACAGTGGCACTGCCACTATGAAGAGAGAGAGAAATCGTCCTAGGCTTGGCGTTCGAGAGTCCGACTTTGATCGGTAGGGAAAGGTTAGTAAATGTGGTGGTGTGGTGGTCGCTGGAGCTCCGAGGGATGGTTATTCGGTGTCGAGTTTGCAGAGGAAAAGAGGGACGAGAGGGAGAGTTCTAAGAGAGATAAGTGAAGAGAAAGAGTTGAGTGGTGAGGTGAGGTGGCAACAAGAGATTGGGTGAGTCAAGAGAGAAAGAGAGTGACAAATGAGAGAAGGGCCAGGAAGGTGGGAGACACGGAAGAGAGGGAGGAATGGGGTGTGGGCCCCACTGGCTCACAAAACAACACGCACAAAATATCTCCCAACATAAAATTACCAAATTGCCTTTCACGTTCGTAAGTCTGTAAAATCTCCATCTTAGCTCCAAATTCGATTCCGCTTGTGCCCATGCATTCGTAATGATGGATACTACCAGGATACACCAAGGAAAAGAGTTTTATGCGACACAACAAGACGGTTAACAAAAGTCAATATTTTTGCCTCAAAGGGCATTTTTGTAAATTCATGAATTAAAATGATAAAAATCAAAATATTTGGGGACGGATGATTACAAGCAATAAGATCCTCCAATAACATGC